TTCCTTGGTGGGTCTCCCATCCAAGTACTAACCAGACCTGACCCTGCTTGGCTTTCGAGATCTAGATGAGCTAGGGTGGGCCACCCAGGACAGGGCAGACAAACAGAGGTGTCTGCCATTCCCTGCGTCTGCATACCCTGGACTTCCTTGGTGGCCTTCCATCTCAAGTCCTGACCGCGGGTGACCCTGCTTAGCTTCTGAGATCTGGCAAGTTTGAGCTAACCTGGGCTTACCCAGGTCAGGGCTCAGTGGAGCTAGACGTGTGAAAACACTCTGAGCATCTTCACTCGTGAATGCGTGATATCAAAGTGGCAGTAATCGGGCCAGAACCAGCTCTGCCTGTTGGTGTGTTTTTTGGAGTATTTTGTGTGTGAGAGAAATCTTTTATAAAAAAAAGTTTGCTCTAGCAACGAGACAGGCAAAAATGAACAAATGGCCTCGTCTGCTCGCTGGGGTTCAGATTTTACTAAGGGGGCAGCCGTCTCTTCTTCCAAGCCGGCAAGCAGTGCCCCCACCCTTCGCCGGCCAGGATGAATGGTGCTGGTTGGGGTGAGAAGCATTCCGGTCTTTAGTTGTTGTAGATTTTCCGGGTTGTGTGGCCGTGGTCTTGGCATTGCAGGACCTGGCGTTTCACCAGCAGCTGTGACTGGCATCCTCAGAGGTATAACACTTAAAGATGGAGTACTCTCTGTGTCAAGGTGAAAAGAGAAATGGTAGGCAGGTAATTTATATCTACTCAGGAAGGTGGGGTAGGGCTGAGTCATTACCTTGTAGGAGTTCCCTGGGCTGTGAACATGCTAATGGAGGAGCTTTCCTGAGGAGGTTCTTCTGTATATGGATTTGTTTCCTGAGGAAGTTTCCTGTTTCCTGAGGAGGTTCTTTGTATGTGGATTGGCTGTTGAAATTCTAATCTTATCTGTAGTGCTATTGTCAGATGTAGAGCTACACAACCCGGAAAATCTACAGCAACTCCTTCGACAACATTCCGGTCTTTATTAGAGCCAAATGGAGCTGAACCTCCTCTGGCTTTGCAAATCAGCTTGAAGGCCAAACTGAGCAAGCCGCTTTTGTGGGATTACTGCTTTCATATTTTAAGATGGCCTAAATTGATGAATCCATGTGGACATACAATTATCAAATCTGAAAACGTGCCCAGCCGTGCACACTGACTAAATTGGAAGATGGTGTTCCCTGGTGAAAACAAACAGCGCTTGAGTCTAGAACTGTAATAATGGTTGGCAAGTGAACGCCGTTGGTAAGTGTAGAATTTTTCTCAAATGGCAAATACAGCAGAAAGGGACAAGAGTGTGTTTGTGAAACAGACCATGGTTCAGTTCAGAGAGCAAGCCAAACTGTAGTTTGCATTAACCATGGCCTAGAACCTAAATGGTAGTGTGAGCTTCCCCAACTATACAGGTATGCCTGCTTTTGTCTTTCATCTGCTCTCAGCACTCTTACGTCATCTTGCAGCTGCCTCAAGAAGTGTAGTTTTTGGCCATAGCAAATTGCAGACATCACACCAAGCCGCGGTTGGCACAAGCCACGATTTGCAGCCCTCTCTTCCAACCATGACTTTTCGGGGTGTGTTTTGTTGCCAGATCAATGCAGGCATCTCCAGACAAGTTTCATATTTGTGTATTTTATTTAAAGCATTTATATACTGCTTTTCGAACCAACTCAGGGTTCCCAAGGCAACAAACATTAAAAACAGCATTTTAAATTTAAAAAAATTATAAAATATTTTGAAACAATAAAAAAACCCACATATAAACAAAACACATGTTGGTCTGAAACAACAGAACAAAATTTGAATCCAGTGGCACCTTGAAGACCAAGAAAGTTTAAACTTTGTTGGTCTTCAAGGTGCCACTGGAGTCAAACTTTCTTCTGGCAGAAGACAATGATGGGGAGAGAGACAAATCTCCCTGCAGAGGAAGTTCCAGAGTGTCAGTCCCACAACCAAGAAGGCTGTTCCTTGGGTTACCACCCGTCTAGCCTCCGATGGCAGGAGCCACGTGAAACAGGGCCTCCAAAGGTGACCAGAGTGGTTGGGTAAGTTCATATTGGAGTAAGTGGTCCTTCAGGTATGCTGGCCTCAAGCCATATAGGGCTTTAAAGGTCAATAGCAGCACCTTGAATTGGGCCTGCAAGCACGTTGGAGCCAGTGTAGTTGGAATGAGACTGGAGTGTAGGCCTGCCAAATCGCGGCGGGGGATCTGCATGTCTTTGCAGAATCCTTGCCGCGGGGATGGCGAGACACATTGCACCGCTGTCGCCAGGACATGACGGTATGCGTCGCTCTGGCAACGGGGCTGTTTGGAGCCCCATTTCCAGAGGGACGCGTAGCATCAGATCCTGACGACGGCGGGTGCAACGCGTCTCGCTGTCCCCACGTCAAGGATTCTGTGAAGACCTACGATCCCCCACCGCGACTTGGCAACCCTACTGGAGTGATATATGGTCCCTACAAGCAGTCAACATTCTGGCCACAACATTCTGTACCGTCTGGAGCTTCTGGACAGTCTTCAAGAACAGCCCCACCTAGATAGAACACATTGCAGTAATCTAATCTAGATGTTATCAGGCTGCCCCACAGGTGATTATAGTTTGGTACAATGTCTGAATTGAGCTGCAGTTTGTAGGCTTTTAGCCCAGCATGCATAAAGGCTTTTTATAAGAACATAAGAGAAGCCAATGTTGGATCAGGCCAATGGCCCATCCAGTCCAACACACTGTCACACAAAAATACCAGGTGCCACCAGGAGGTCCAGCAGTGGGGCCAGGACACTAGAAGCCCCTCCCACTGTTGCCCCCCCCCCCAAGCACCAAGAATACAGAGCATCACTTGCCCCAGACTGAGAGTTCCTACCTATACCTTGTGGCTAATAGCCCCTGATGGACCTCTGCTCCATATGTTTATCTAATTCCCTCTTGAAGCTGTCCATGATTGTAGCCGCCACCACCTCCTGTGGCAGTGAATTCCATGTGTTAATCACTCTTTGGGTGAAGAAGTACTTCCTTTTATCTGTTCTAACCCGACTGCTCAGCAATGTGGAAGAGAAGAGCATGGTTGGTTATGTGCATCGAGATTAGCATGACAAATTGGTTCATCTCTTTCGCTTGTCAGTTTAGGGTTAGGGTTAGCTTTATTGCTTGCCGGGCAATACGCTGCAATGTCGCGATGGCATTTCGACAGCCGCTGGAACCGTTCTGTTCAAAAATAGCCTGATGAGGTTTCGCCTTCGCACCTCGCCGACAATCGACACAATACGGTTGCAGATGAAAGCTCAACAGAGCCTGAACATGAGTGGGGAAAGGAAGGTGGGGTCATTGGTTTACCACATCAAGTATCTTGCAGCCTGAGAACTTTCTTGTGTTCGTTTTTCTCTCAAGATGACTGGGGAGGTGCTGGGGAATACGCTGCTGATATTTGATCAAGCACTTCCATTTGGATTTCCACAAAGTAGGCAGCGATGAGCAGTTCTTGCCAGTTTGGTTCGTTTCATCCAGGAAGCTCAAGGCTTAGTTTGCATGGCTCATTGGACTGTCGAGCCATTGGAAAGGGCCCTGTATCTCACCTCCTGAGCTGCTGCAAGGGTCCCTTTATGACTCAGCTTGTGCAGAAAGATGCATTTTCTCCTGATATGCTTCTGTGTCTCTTCAGAAGCTGGCCTGACCAGGAACCACTCCCTGGATTTTCTTTTAGAAGGAATGTGAAAAGCCATCCCTCGTTTCCCAACTGCTTCCATTAACTCTGGAGAGATCTATTCTGTTAGCAGGTTTAATGCCAGGCTGGCGCCATCCGTCAGAGCAGCAGTGTGTGGGATAAACGCTCACCTAGAACTGTACAAGTGGGATATTGGAGATCATTCCCTCTCTCCAGAGACCTGGAAGGACATTAGATAACGAGTGGAATCTCACTGTTATGTTTGTCTGTGGAAGTGGCCAGCTCTCCTGTGGAATCATTTGCGTGGTGCCCTGCATGCTTGATGCCCAAGGCAGGCACACTTCCCATCATGCGCCAGTGCTTAGCTCACTCATGTTGTGGTTCGTGTAGAACATAGATGGGATCGCTTTTGCGGTGTAGTAGTTAGAGTGTTAGACTAGCAGGCCTGTAGCCAGGAATTTCTAAGTGGGGGGGGATTTAAATTCCTGGGGGGGGCGGCACTGGCTAATTCAATTAAGTGTAATTTAATTAACTTGATCGGTGTGGCGCAAGGGGGGGAAGGCAAGGAGAAGCAGCGGCCACAGCAGCATGGGGGAGTTCATGACGGCCGCTGCATCTTACCAGAAAGTCAGGGGGTCTGGGCCAAAAGGAAGTCGGGGGGGGGCTTGGTAGGAAGTTGGGGGGCTGGGCCCCAAAATGCCCCACTGTAGCTATGGACCTGTAGACTAGGATCTTGGAGAACCAGGTTCAAATCCCCGCTCTGCAATGGAAGCTTCCGGGGTGACACGCACGCTCAGCCTAACCTACCTCGCAGGGTTGTGGTGGTCGTGAGGATAAAATGGAGGTGAGAATGACATAAACCACATTGGATCCTCATTGGGAGAAAGGTGGGGTATAAATGAAATAAAGAAATGGATAATCTCCAGGATGAATATTTGAACAAGACTTCTGTCTCCAGACGTAGGGACTGGATGCTGCATGGGTAATAAACACGAAGCGGGCAGAATGCGTCCTTGGCCCTGTGATGAGAAGGCAGGATTCTGGCAGTGTAGGAGAGGGACAGAAAATTTCATTCCCGATGCAGGTACACTGGCAGCTTTGCCTTGTGACGTAGCCTAGGGATCAGAAACGGTTTCCCGGCAACCCTTCAATTCATTTATCCTTGGCTCACCTGTCCCATTCCCATCAGAGCTATTTAAGCCATCTTCCAGGGAGCCTAACCATTTAACGCAATAACAAGGTAACCGAACTACCATCTCTCTCTGTTGGTCTGGAGCATGGAACTTGAGATGGCGAAGCTGGTGTAAACTCGGGGATGGTTTGTGTCTTGCAGGGGGAAGAGTAAAAACGTGGAAAAGGAGATGGTTTATACTGACAGATAACTGCCTGTATTATTTTGAATACACAACAGTGAGTCTGTTTTTTGTTACTTCCTTTTAAAATTGCAAATCATAACATAACTTCCAAGTCAACCTAACTCAAGGTTGTTTACTCAACAGTGTCTTTCCTTGATTCTTTAGGACAAAGAACCCAGGGGAATTATCCCTTTGGAAAACCTCAGCATAAGAGAAGTTGAGGATCCAAGAAAACCAGTAAGACACTGTCTTTATTTATTTTTTTCTTTTGGTATTTTTTCCTGTATTTTTCGTGTGTGTGTGTGTGCGTGCACGCGTGTGAGTCAGTGTGAGCCAGCTCAAATTTTCTTAGACTGCGGCTCACACATTTTTGTCTTAGCTCAGGGAGGATGGTTCCAGAGCAAACTAATTTATCCAGTAGCCAAATTGCTGGCTGACAACTTTAATTCCAGTAGCTCACAAAGTAGAATTTTTGCTCACAAGACTCCACAGCTTAGAGGGAGCTTTGGTGTGTGTGTGTGTGCGTGTGTGCACCTGGAAGTCATGTTGACCTCTGATGACTGACCCCTACTGGGGGCCTGGAGGATATTCAGAGAGGTGGCTGAATAAAGACTTCCGAGTGCTGGTATTCCAGGGAGGTCTCCCATCCAAGTACTTGCCAGGGTCGGCCCTGCTTAGCTTCCGAGATCTGACGAGATCGGGCTCACCTGGGCTATCCCAGGTCTTTATTTCTTTGTCGTGTATTATTCTCCCAGGAATTTATATTGTTGGATGCTCAATTGAAACAGTCAGGATTTGCATAGAGCATGCTCTTGCTTGCCCTGACCTGGATAGCCCAGGCTAGCTGGATCTCGTCAGATCTCGGAAGCTAAGCAGGGTCGGCCCTGGTTAGTACTTGGATGGGAGACCCACCAAGGAAGTCCAGAGTTGCTCTGCAGAGGCAGGCCATGGCACACCCACCTCTGTTTGTCTCTTGCCTTGAAAACCCTACCGGGCAGCTATAAATCGGCTGCGACTTAACGGCATCTTCTACCACCACCACCACCACCCTTGCTTATGAAAATCCTAATTTTCTAAAAGAATTTGAAACAATGAGTGTCTGATCATGGACTTCATTAAAGGGAACTGAAATATTATGGACATATCCCACTAGGAAAGCAAGGATCACTTAAGTGCTTTCCTGTGTGCTGTGTCCCTTAATCTATTATCTGCAACAGAACACCTTGTCTTGTAGCTTAAGTTAGCCTTGAAGTTAAACCGCTCATTAAAAAAAAAAAAAGGAAAACCTCTGCTCATTTTTCACAGAGAAGGAAAATTACAAGTACACAATAACAAGTCCCCAACCAACAAATATTTCCCAGCAGTCAAAAGGAAACAAAAGAAAACACCCTGAAGATCAGCACGTGTAATATTTGCTCATGGGTATAATGTATAGGGTTGCCAAATCTTTTTTACCTGGCGGCGGGGGGCTCCTGCCCGACATCTTAAATGCGCGCACTCTATGTTTTCCCCTCAAATGGCTGTGGCCCCGCCCCCAGCGTGCCCGGCGTCATGATGTCACATCCGGGTGGCGCGCGCGCAGGGGTGGGGTTTCCCCTGGGGCCCGATTCCGCGGGGGCGGAAATCGGGCCTCCAAAGCGGGGGGAAATCCGCCCCCCGGGGGGACTTGGCAACCCTGATAATGTACTTCATGCGGTACCATGGGGAAATGAAGGAGAGGTGTCTAGATAGCCAAAAGTCATCTGACCTAGCCTTATTCCTACCTGACCTTCTGCAGGTAGGCTATGAGAAGGTGGGGCGGGGATGATTAGATCATGCCGATTTGTATTCAGCCAAGTTGGGCTCACCACCGGGCATGGGGTGGGTAGGCTTGTGAAGCGTTGTGTGGGCTTCCCCCGTGTGTGGTTTCAGCGGGGCTGGCGTGTTGCTGACTCTTCCTCAGCTTGTTCTGTGTCTTCCCCCTAGAACTGTTTTGAGCTCTACAACCCCAGCCACAAGGGCCAAGTCATTAAGGCCTGCAAAACAGAAGCGGACGGCAGGGTGGTCGAAGGCAACCACGTGGTTTACAGGATCTCTGCTCCCACCCCTGAAGAAAAAGAGGAGTGGATCAAGTCCATCAAGTGAGTGGAAACGCAGCTTTGTGCCGGGAAAGGAAGCGGAGCGGGTGTACGATTGTCAGAGCTGATCTGAAATGTTCCCTGCGTAGGCTCCACACCTTATGGAGAACTGAGCTGATTCCTGATACGTCATGTCTCCCTTGCCATGAAATTGGCCCTAGCAGCCAGTGCTTCGCACTGTCACTTTTGGATGTTTGTTTGTTTGTTTGCTTGTTTGTTTCTGCCTGTATTCCGCCCTCCCCACGAATGGGCTCAGAGCAGATCACACCCACAAATCCACAGTAGGAGTTAAAACATTTCACAATAAATAGTTAAAACAGTTAAAAACAAAAACTGTAAAATAAGGACAGGTAGCAATGCAGTTTAGTATAAGAGTCTTGGGAACTGGAGCCGCTAGGCTGTAAACCAGATTGTGGGTCTTCACCTGATGGGCCGTACAAAGATGGACGCTTCAGCAAGGGAGGCCAGTCGATGGAAGAATTGGACGCCTGCCGCCTCACCCAAAGGCCTGGCGAAACAGCTCTGTTTTACAAGCCTTGTGAAACTGTAATAGGTCTCACAGGGCCCTGATCTACAGCGGGAGCACGCTCCAACAGGCCAGGACCAAGGCAGAAAAAGCCCTGGCCGAGGCTAAGCAGACGTCCTTTGGGCCGGGGGCAATCAGCAAATGTTGGTCCGCTGAGCGCAAGGGGTTTTTTATGTGGGAAGTCTATAGGAAGTAAATTAGACGTCGGGGTGGGCCATAAGCAAAGAGAAAGAAGAGGAGGAGGAGATTGGATTTATACCCCGCCCTTCACTCGGAGTCTCAGAGGGGCTTACAAACTCCTTTCCCTTCCCCTCCCCACAACAGACACCCTGTGAGGTGGGTGGGGCTGAGAGAGCTCTTTCCTGGACTGCCCTTGAGAGAACAAGCTCTGAGAGAACTTGTGACTGACCCAAGGTCGCACCAGCAGCTGCATGTGGAGGAGTGGGGAATCAAACCCGGTTCTCCCATATTAGAGTCTGTGCACTTAACCACTACACCAAAGGACAGCAAAATGTAAAACTTCAAAGACAGATGCAAAATGGTGCGTGCCGTGTCCTCCCCTCCACTCAAAGCAGTCCCAAGAAATCCTTGCAAAGCGTGAGTCTCAAGAAGGGCAAGGCCAGAAAGAGCTCTGCCAGCACTCGCTCAGAACCCAGACGACGGTCAGGACCAGCGGTGGTTTGGCACGATGTTCTTCCTGTGTCTTGGGAAAGGCGCCAGCCTTCTCATGGGTATCTTCTCTTCTGCTTAGAGCGAGCATCAGCAGGGATCCCTTCTACGACATGTTGGCAACCCGGAAGAGAAGGATCGCTAACAAAAAATAGCACCGGGGGACGACTCCCCGAGGGCCTGCTGTCAACACATATGTCAACAAAACCCAGACCCGTATTGGAAGTGCAGTCAACGGTCCCGCCGCATCTTCTGCCTTTTCTCCGGCCGTTCGTTATGTTCCACAAAGTGCTGGGAGATGCTTTTGACTTTGCTCGGAATGAACTGGAGACAAAAACAAACCAACCCTGGAAGCCTTATACGCAGTTCTGCGCGTTGCAATGTTTACTGAATCGGGAGATATGGGGAGACAGACGAAATGTAAGCCGTACCTCCCCTGCTCCTCCTTTGGGGCCTTTGCCCGGGATGGGGACTCGTTGCCAAACCGAACATTCATGGCTAGCAAATTGCCCGGTGGGCCCTTTCCTGTATGCAAAATAGTTTTGTTCTCAACCTTTGCAATGCAGAGGAGTTCAAACCTTGCTTATTTTGTACTCAGCCTTTACCCTTTTACGCTGCCATTTAAGCCCCACGGATGCACAGAAGTATGATGTTTCTTGAGATAAGCACTGAAAATATGGAGCTGTCTATGCCTGAAACGGTGACAAGCAGGGCCTTCAGCAGTATCGATGTAGCATACCTTTCTTTTTAGATACCGTGACAGTGTGCCGCTTTCCTTCTCCACAGGTTAGAGACCTAGTCTTTCCTACTTTGGTCCAGTCTTGTTTTTACGGAAATGTATCTTGCAGTCTGATAATGACTGTCAAGAAGACAGTTAGGCAGTCCACTTACTAAAATTTCCCAGGCAGACTGGTATACAGGGCCCAAACATTCTTCAAAATGCTCAGCTTTAACTGTTCTTCTTATTGATTGCCATGCAAAGAAGAGGAAATAAGCAAGATTTTGTCTTTTTATTTCTGTCTGTTCTATGTAAGGTTATTATTTTGTTGAGAGAGCCAGAAGAGTGTGGCCGGGAATAGAAATGCAGGTTTTCTTTGAGTGCCATTTTGCAGTGCTGAGCTTTAAGTCTGGCATAATGAAAAGGAGGGGAAATAGGACAGCTAGAAGTGGAGGGCTTCCTTGTCCCTCTCCCACTGAAATGCAAGCAGCAGCCTCCAGAGCTGTGGCATAGCGACCCACGTGTGGCCTTTTCCGTTGAAGACTTTTTTTCTTAGTGCTTGTCCAGAAACTAGGATGGCGCTCACTGGGATGGAACAGAAAACATGATGGGCACAATATCAGGAATGATTAAAAAATGCAGAATGCTAAAAAGCTTGACTGTGCTGCTAAGCGAGGTCCAGCTCAAGGGATGATTTGGTGTCTGCTCTGGGGATCTACAGGACTCCTGGCATTTTCAGCAAACGATTCTCAGGACTCCGTGAGATAGATTTGAAGCAGCTGCAGTTGGAGAGGACCAGTCTGAAGGGGGACTCTTGGTCAAATTCAGCCTAAAGTGGAGCTTTATATCTCTCCCCATGGTTCCTGCATCCCCTTAAAAAAAATAATCGGTTCTATTTTGGTGTGCATTTGTAAGAATGAAGGAAAAAGCCTTAAGACTTTGTGTTCTATTTCCCCGCAAAACTTCATATATTCCTGTACTGTTTTGTGCAACAGAATCGCTGTACAGTGTTCTGGCGAGTCATGATTGGCCTCTGGAGGTGATTGGCTCCTCCAACGGCAGCCGTTCTTGCAGGGCTGCAGACTGGTGTCTTTGTGTTGGGGGGAGGGTAGTTTACACAAGAACGCATGTAGGGATTGCCAGTGTTCTGAGTGGGGTGGGGGGTGGGGAAGACAACAATGGAATCAGGGATCACGTGCACATCCTAGAATACAAATAGCATAGTGGTTGTGATGACCGCTCTTCTTAAGAGGAGTTAATGCTTTTTTTTTTTAATTGCTTTAGAAGTGTAAGAATGTTTGCAGAATTCCTGAAACATTGACAGTAAATGTGAGGTTCTGCTGTGTATAATTCAGGGAGACTTGCCTGCTTTTGCAATGCAATTTAGAGTCTGTTCTTCGTCGTGCTTCTAGGCCTGGGAGTATGCTGATGTATTTCTTTTTTTTGCGCTCTTTTTGGGCTCTTTTTTTGTCACCTGTGTGAATCAAGTGGAGGGAGGGCTGCATCGCTGCTGGTGCAGAACCCGCAGAGCATCATACCATGCATGCTCCAGTTCACATAAGCTGCACGTTGTCAAACGCAGAGGCTGTTCCCAGCATCTTGGCAGGCTGAAGCTGTGCCTAGAATGGGCAGCAGTGGTATGAAGTTTTGGTTTGGCCACCCTCATATGGTGGGGAGGGGAGGGTTGCATCAATTACCCTGTCAAAGAAGGTGGAGTCGCCTCCCCTTGGTGAGCGGCATCCTTCCCAGAGTTGTAGGTTTGTGGGTTGCCGCTGTTTGTTAGGTATTATTAGCAGGGACATCAGCCATAAGGGCCGACTCTTTCTTTTCCCAAAAAAGCAAAACTAGACAATTTGTAGGAACAATATGGCACGTGAAAGTTGTGGCTATCCAAGGTACTGTCTCTTCTTTTCTTGAGATGATGTAAGAGCTGCCCACCCCCTTCAGCTTCTTTTTTTTGTTCTCAAGGAGCTGTGCTTTCCAAAACTGTGTCAGCTTATTAACTCTCACTCATACAGGCGGGGCTGCCTTGGCCCCAGGCCGGTGGTGTGGGGGGGGGGGCAGCTCCCCCTGTACTATTCCTCTTCTTTTGACTGTTCCCCGTAAAGAGGATCTTCAGTGAGGTAAAAAGAAGTTCACCTACCTCTCTGCTCTGACGGAGGCATTCCAGGAGTGCCGTCTTTAATTATAGTTTTTTAAAAGCCAACATTCTTTGCTGTCCCTCCCAGCAAGAACAGTGCTGAAGTGAATCCTTCCAGGTTTCCTGTTTTCTGCCTTGGTTGCCTTTTGCCCCGTGCTCGAGGACTCCGGCTCAAGGAGGGAAAGAGAAGCAACAGCACTTTAAGCTCAGCTGGCCTGATGGGTGCTGAGCCTAAGAGACTCGAGAGGGAGAGAGTTGTGTTTGTCGCTTAACTTTTGCGTGGCTTTGAAGTGTGTGGTACAGAATTAAATCTTTATGAATGGAGTAGTGTTTCTGATGCTTTACATTAAAAGAACTATGCCTATTTTAGTACATATCTTGGTACATTTGCTTGGCTGGATGGAAGGTAGGTCTCTTAGATCCGGGGCAGACATAGCAGAGGCTCCCTAACAGAGCTAGCCTCAGGCATCCACGTGTCCCACCAACTGAGAGGCACACTGATGCTAACTGTGGATAAGGCCGGGGAGGGAATGGGTGCCTGTGTGTGTTCCCCAAGGCTATTTCCGGCACTGCAGGAAGCTCCTGTTGTGTCTTCTCCAGCCCATCTAGGCCGGCTGCTGCAAGCTACCTTGTAGCTTATCATTTTCCTTTTCTATATATTTTCTTGGAGAATGTTTCTATTGACAGTTAAGGTGAAAGTGTACATACTGTACAGCTGTATATTGTTTTTTGTTTGTTACCTTGTGTAAGCCAGTGGATTGCATGAAAAAAAAAATTCCTGTATTCATCCTTGCTATACAAGTTTGTGAAATCGCTGTTTAAATCCAGTTATAAGTATTAGTTATCAAGATACACTGCTTGAGGTGATACCCTCAAAAAATAAAGAGTTGTACATACAGACTGTAGCTCTTCTTAAAAACAAAACAAAAAAAAGTGCAAAGGATACTTCAGATGCTTTCTCCAGAAGGACAGAGGGGCCATTTGCTCATTCAATAAGTACAGAATCTGCCCCAATCACCCGTTAGGAACAGAAGCAGTGCCTCCATTCTGCAGCAGTGGAAGGGGTGCCTTTCTGTTTAAAGTGGGTAGCAAACCCAAGTTGGGTGGGAAGGGAGAGGGACCAATTTATTCATTACCACTGTCAAAATGCAGACTGCCAGTGCAACACTTAGTCGTTGGGGAAGGGTGGGAGAAGTGCAGGAGTAACTTCTGGTTTCCACAGTCCCCCCCCTCCCAGCATTCCTGTAGCTGAGATTTCACCTCTTTGCAAAAACCACATTCTTCATGAGTAACTATTTCAAAGGCTTGCACCCTAGATGAAAAGCCAAAGCTTCCCTCTTTGCTGTGGGCCTTAACAATTATTTTTTTGCATCCTGGGTTCATCCTACAGCAATCCTTTGACCTGTTAAATCAGCCAGGGAATGGCTGTTCATTCCCTGTACAAGCCAAGAATATCGCTCTTGTGAAATTTCAGGACAAGTAGCTACTGCGTCACACACGTCAACTGGAGGATCCCTCTTCTGTGCTGTGAACCAAAGTCACACCTCACCAAGCTGTGAAATACCACGAGATGAGCAGAAACTCTGTCACACAGTTCTCAAGACAATTTTATGCCAACCAGAAATTAAAAACTGTAGATACGCTGAGCAAAGTTTGCAGGTTTTTTAACTTGCTGTATTTATATACTATATAAATTTTACATGCCATGTATTTACAAGGGGGGGCAAGTGCTTTATCTTTTAATAAAAAAACTCAAACAGGTCAAACTTTAGACACCTCTGAACAACACAGTTTGTATATAAACCAGACAGATTATTCAGATGAACTGTATTTAATACAGTTTCCCCACTCTGTCTCCTGATGCAGGGACCAGTGAATTAAGCGTATCACAGTTTGACAGCATTTTATAATAAAAAAAACAAAATTAAATCACAGTATGAATGTGTCTGTTAACTAGAAACTTAAAAGAGGGACAAGAACCAGACAACTGAGACCCATTCAAACCAGTGACACTATTAAACGCAATACAAACAAGGGACCGGTATGCGCAGATGGGGGCGTGGAGAAGGAAGAAAGACATTCCAAAGCTGGTACAAGTTTGAATGGGGCACACATCAAAATCCAAGACCAGAATCTTTGCTTCAAAATCTTGAATCCAGCAGGAAACAAAACAAAACCATGGAGTTTCTAGTACCAGACATCACATAAAAACAGATGAACAGCTCTTGCAAAAATCCTAATTGTTCATGAATTGTTTCATTTTTTTAAAATAAGTCTTTAAATTAAATAGACTATATCAGTCGCAGCTTGATAAGTCCGTGGTTTCCTTGCCTCCTGCGCCAGATGCGTACACTTGGAGTAACGTCACGTGAACAACGCAATCGACCTGAGTCGGTAACTAAGCAGCATTTGAGATGTTCTATTCCAGGGCATTAAATTTTCACTTGTGATATTTACATGGTAAATTGTTTTTTTTTTTTTTAAATAAGATCCAGCAGTAGAAAGGGTTTTTTTGCAGGGTGGGGTTGGCATTTTTTAAATTTTTTTTCCGTTTTATTTTTGGATTGCATGAAATTGTTTTTGTAAAAAAAAGTCTTAAAAAAAGTTCTTCGATGGTAAAATCCTGTACAGTATTTTGTTGAAGCACCAATAATGAATTGAAGAGAAATAATATTTTTCTTTATAAATATACTGCTAGTAGTGGTAAGATGTTTCCAGCAGATGATCTGAAAGGCAAGGAAAAGGGTCAATGTTATTCCTTGGGGAACCCAAATAAGAACATAAGAGAAGCCAACGTTGGATCAGGCCAATGGCCCATCCAGTCCAACACTCTGTCACACAGTGGCCAAAAATACCAGGTGCCATCAGGAGGTCCAACAGTGGGGCCAGGACACTGATGCCCCCCCCACCCGAAGCACCAAGAATACAGAGCATCCCTTGCCCCAGACCGAGAGTTCCTATCTGTACCTTGTGGCTAATAGACACTGATGGACCTCTGCTCCATATGTTTATCTAATTCCCTCTTGAAGCTGTCCATGCTTGTAGCTGCCACCATCTCCTGTGGCAGTGGATTCCATGAGTTAATCACCCTTTGGGTGAAGAAGTACTTCCTTTTATCTGTTCTAACCCGACCGCTCAGCAATGCCTGATAAGATACTATTTCATCTCAAAGTGCTGAGGTAATTCTGTGTCAGTGTGGCGCAGTGGTTAAGAGTGTTGGACTGGAACCAGGGAGATCCAAGTTCAACCTCCCACTTGCTGTGAAACTCACTGGATGACCCTGGGCCAGTCGCACACCGTCTCAGCCCTGGCCTACCAGGTTGTGGTCATCAAACAGAAGAGAGGGGGGAAACCACACATGCCCCCTTGGAGGGGCAAAAGAACGCTGAGTAAGTTAGTGTGCCACCTAGTGGCAATTTATAGCAACTGCCCCTCCCAGTGCTGCCTCAAGCCATTCACAGCAAAACTCCTTGCACTGGTGATTTCAGCACAAGAGCACAATGAGCTCAGTCGTGGGCACAGAAGTGGCAGGATTTATTTAAGGAAATGGTTAGTTGTTTCTTTAAAAAAAAAAACACTATTACACAACAAAGTCAATTAAGGTTGAAGAAGCAGCAAACGGGGCTGCATAAAAATATTTGGTGTGCGCAATCCGTCAAGAACGGTTAATTCAGCTGCCCGGTTGTTTGGACACAATTCAAAACAGTGCTAAGGACAGGACACTTAAAAGGCAGAGCCTTCCATAACCGGCTATTGAAAAAAGACAGCTCTCTGATAAGACACCCGCCGTATTTCAGAAAGGGGGCAGGACGGGGCTTCAAGCGGGTTCTCTAAATTTGTAGGCAGGGTCACACAGGAAAAGGCAGCCCTTCAGGCACCCTGGCCTCCAAGCCAGTTAGGGCTTGTTAAGCTCCTAAAGGAAGTTACCTTTAGCAAGTGTGTATTTCCTGCAATGAACTCTCTCCACTTACCTAGAGAAGGAACACATTTTTTTTGAGAGAGAGATGGCACTTACTGAACTTCAAACTCAGTCTGTGAACACTGACAGGGAGGGACTAGGAAGATGATACTTTTCTGTCAGCTGAATTGGCTTCACTGGCAGTAATTCAGCCTGTATCCCCAGGGATGCCTTTTTTGTCGGGGGAACGGGGTAGGTTCCTGGCAGTCACCCTCAGGGAGCTGCTCCCCCTGCAGAGCATCCATGACGTAAGTTTGCCACAAGTACAGCCTTCAGGATAGGGGGTGCGTCATTTCACAGTTTTCGGCCCCCCTCCTGAAACTACTGGGAAAACCAAGACTGCAGATCTTACATATATCCCCATTGGATGAGGGCTGCTGTATGGATTCACACCACACATGCACTGGTTCAGATGGACAACTAACCCTGGCTAGCACTAAAACTGAACAAAGATGGAAGCTCTGATGTGAAGTGTTCCCCATGGAGGCTGAACTACGGTCCATGGAGAGCATCAGGCCACAGAAGTGCTTAATGGATATTCTGAGACTTGCTGTAATATCAGCAGAAGACTTTGGCACACCTGCTTGACTAACTCTGCCACCGCAGGAAGGTTATCAGTCAAACAGGCATCCAGGCCACACTGAGAGAGGCTGGGGGGAGTGTTGAAGCCTCTCCAGGTAAAGGACAATGTTCTGGACCACCCCAGCTCATTTTGGGCCTCAATAAAATAATTACTACGAGAGTATGTAGGAGAGCTGCAGATGCTTACCATCTCCTTTACTCTTTATATGGGATGTCATTGCTTGCAGATCTAGAGACTGTCCAACTGTGGTCTTTATGGAAAGGTGCCTCTGTAGCAGCTGAAACAGAAAATGTTCATGTTGAACAACAACAACAACAAATGAATTCCCGGTGTTGATGAACAGGTAGTGTCCAGAGAATTGCCTGAATTGGGCTCTGTCAAATGTCCCCCGCAACCTTATGGCAACCCCCATTGGTTTTTCAAGGCAAGAGATGAGCAGAGGTGGTTTGACAATTCAAATTCGAGATAGGGCAATTTTTTCCCTTGTAGACAGACCTGTGGCAGGGGTGGACAAGACAGGTTTAGATAAATTATTAACAGATGAAACTTCAGTTATTGCTAAGCTAACTGCTAGATTTTGCGCTCAGGCAATTAAAGTGTGCAGTAAATTTCAGTCCTGCTCCTCCAAGCCTTGACTTAGTTTTGTCCAGGAGGTCTATTATACTGCTCTTGTTTCTCTTAAATTCCTTGATTTAAATTTTTAAAAATGGTCACCTACGATGCTTTATGTACTTTATGATCTTTTAAAATATAATTTTATTTATTTATTTATTTATTTATTTATCACATTTATACCCCGCCCTCCCCGATGGGCTTAGGGCGGCTTACAGAGGCAAGGCAGAACCTTGCCATAATAGAAACATAATATACATAATAATATAAAACATATAATACATCATAAAACATCCTCAGTTTAAAACATGTGGCTCAATAACTTCCATAAATCCAAAGATAGCAGATCGTAGGTCCGAAGTTCCGAGTGGTACTTTCCACGGCTTAGGGCTTCTTCAATATTAAGATGTTTCCTCAGGGCGGTGGTGGTATAGTAGGGGCGGCGGCTCCTACTCAAAGGCCTGGCGGAAGAGCTCCGTCTTGCAGGCCCTGCGGAACTGCATAAGGTCCCGCGGGGCCCGGATCTCCCCTAGGAGCTCATTCCACCAGGTAGGAGCCGCCACCAAAACAGCCCTGGTCCTAGTAGCAGCTAATTTGATGCCCTTGGGGCCCGGGATGACTAACAAAGTTTGGGCCCCTGACCGTAGTGCTCTTGGGGGAACATATGGGGAAAGGCAGTCCCTCAGGTAGGCTGGACCCTGGCCATATAGGGCTTTATAGGTAAGAACCAGCACTTTTAAGCGAATCCGGTACGCTATTGGCAACCAGTGCAGCGCTTTCAGCACAGGCTGAATGTGGTCCCTTCTAGAGAGACCCATTAGCAGCCTGGCTGCAGCATTCTGCACCAGTTGCAGCTTCCGGATTTGCAGCAAAGGCAGCCCCATGTAGACAGCGTTGCAGTAGTCTAACCTCGAGGTGACCGTTGCATGGATCACTGTGGCCAGGTCATCGCGGTCAAGGTAGGGGACCAACTGCTGTGCCCGCCGCAGATGGAAAAAGGTGGACTTGACAGTGGCTGCCACCTGGGCCTCCATTGTTAATGTGGAGTCCAGGAGCACCCCCAAACTCCGAACCCCAGTTGCTGGCACCAAAGGCACCCCGTCAAAGGTCGGGAGAGGGAGCCCCAACTCCGCCCCGGCCCGACTCAGGCCCAGGACCTTCGTCTTCGCCGGGTTTAGTTTCAATCGGCTCAGCCGGAGCCAACCAGCCACAGCCTCTAATGCCCGATGAAGGTCATCGGGACTGGCCACCCAGCATCAGATAGAGCTGGGTGTCATGTGCGTATTATGTTAAATTTTCTGTTTCTATATTTTAACCATCGTTTTAACATGTATACCTGTACACCTGAACAATGTTGTTTTTGTCAACTGGATCTGGCCGTGGACCGTAATATAATGAAACGAACGAACTTCACGGTGGCCTCTCTGTCCAAGCTCCAGCCGGGCCCGACTGCCCTTAGCTTCTGAGGTCCGGCTAGCCTGAGCCATCCAGGCCCCATCTTAAGGGGAGGGGGAAAGGATCGCCCCGCCTTACTCGCAAGCCCAGATGTCTTTCCCCCTTCTCGCGGTCCCCGTGGGAGAGCCACTGCAAACAGGACTCCTCTGCTGATGAACCAAGCTGCAGACCAGTCTCGCTGCCCTCCTCTCCCTCGGCTGCCACATTTGTTATCTTTCCTTTGGTTCAAATCAAAAAGACATTGCGCCCTAAAGTTCCAACTGGCTTTTCGGTTTCATCGGTCAAGGGGCCTGCTGCCCCTCCAGAGACCTGGGTGCCCAAACGTGGCCATGCCTTAGAGGACAGGGAAGAGAAAGGGTTGCCCTGCTGGAGGAGACGCAGCCTCGGAGGACGGGGGAACAGTTCTTCCCACTGACCCTCCCCACTTTCATCCTTGGGGATTCCCTTCCAGTCTCTTACCGTCATGGTGGTCTGTAGAGAAGTGGCAGCCTCCTCTGTCACCACCTTCTGCGCACTTGGATTTCCAGCAGGCCGCAGCTGCTCCATCTTGGGCCTGCCTGCCGTGTTTCTGACAAGCCCCCGACAAAGTTTCGGTTGTCTCCCAAGTGCCGTTGCCTTCCGCGTGAGCTGACTTTGGGACGTGGGGCTCTAGAGGCTCGTTGCAGCTTTCAGATCTCTTTGCACGCTTCTTCCTCTTCTTTTTCTTCTTCTTGTGTTTATGGGCCTCTGTCTCAGAGCCTGATGCAGAGGGATCTGAGTCCTGGTGATGCCTGAAGAAAATGGGGACAAGTTAATGGGGAAATCTATGGCAACACCCTGCTCCGTTCCAAATGACAGGATTTCTAGAGGCAGCCCCCGGTGTGCAACGTATGCTGCCTGGAGGGTGAGTGCTGTTCCCATTTTACAGATGGGAAACTGTGCTTCAGAGAGGCACCTTGCTCCGGGCAGCCTTATAAATCCATGCGTGGTGTGAAATTTGATCTCTTCAGCTCTGTTACCTCTTTTAAATTAAAAACAAAAACGCCTGCCTGCCCACTTCAGGGTATCCTTCTGCTGGGTCGGACCCTTGGCTCACCCAGCTCAGAGCCCAACATAGAAACACAGAGCTGGAAGGGACCCCCACCCCTGCACAGTGCAGGAAATTAATAGCTACCCTCCCCGTGACCCCTGCCCTATGCCCAGAGGAAGGCAAGAAACCCCCAGGATCACTGGGCCAATCTGGCCTGGAGGAAAATCCCTTCCTGACCCCAAAGTGGCGACTGGCATTACCCTGGGCATATAAGAAAGGGCCACAAGAGCTGGAGACTGGCTCACCCTACCCTCCCTCTCATACAATCAACGTTGCCATCGGAGACAGGTCCAAGCTGTGGCCAGCACCATTTCAGAGGAGAATTTAGCTGTTCAAAAACTGCCACAAGGGCCGCCCCAGGCAATCTTGTCCTCCCCCTGCCCTTTCAAGGGCCCAAACGGCTGGGAGGGGCTGGCCTCGGTGGCCAACATAATAATGTGTAGCCTGGCCCTCAGTCTCCTCGTCTCTGTACTCCATGCAGACAAGGGCCTTTCCCAACGCCTGGGACCCTTTCACCTGAGGCTGGCTGTGTGCAAAGTGGGCGCTCTGCCACGGAGGTGCCACCTAACCCAAGAAGACCCAGTGGCGGCAACACAGTTTCCTGACATATCGAGTGAGCGGGTGGGGCAAATGTCCCTGGAGAGTGGCTTCGAGTCAAGAGCAGGCTACTGTAACCTTGATAGACCAAGGGGCTGTCTTGAAACCAGGGCATCCTTTCACTTTTGTTTTAAGTGAGAACGACAGTCGTATTCAGAAGTTCTTTCCCACTGGACCTCAGAATATGAACTCAGGTTCACCCAGTCCTCAGTAAAATTTCCCGGGTTTGAAACCATCTAACACGGGTAATTGTGAGAGCTTTGGTCCTTTGTTTTCAGAGATAAGAAATTAGTATTTTATTGCTGAAGTCTGTATATAATTACACCTCCAGTAACTATTCTGGTTTTGCATTATTTTTGTGCCTGAACTGCATTTTGGAACTTTTTAAAGTTTGCAAATTATTTGACTGAGACCCAAGTAGTCAATTGTTTTATAAGTTATTTCTCTACAAGATGCACACTGAAGAAATAATTTGAGATGGATCTAATTGCAGATGCCAATTTGTTGGATAAAGCCCTGTTAGGTCCTGTGCAGTGTTCCCTCTAAGCTGAGTGAGTGTGAGCTAGCTCACAGTTTTTTAGCCTCCAGCTCACAGATTTTTGTCTCAGCTCAGGGAGGATTGCTCCAGAGCAAACTAACTTATGCAGTAGCCAAATCGCCTGCTCAAAACTTTAATGCCAGTAGCTCACAAAGTAGAATTTTTGCTCACAGGACTCCTTAGGGGGAGCATTGGTCCTGTATTGAATCCCCCCCCTTCTCTTGGTTTATTTAGCTTATTTTTTTGTTATAGCTTTTATATTACACTGTGATGAGATAAATTAAATTTTGTAAAAATTTCCTATTAATACAGTAAAATTATTTTTTAAAAAAAGAAAAAAAAAGAGCAGGCTACTGTAATCTTGATGGACCAAAGGTTTGCCTTGGTAGAAGGCAGCTTTGCATGTCTCCCCACATGCCCTCTTCATTAACAAGCAACTTCAAGAAAAATGTAGGAAAGAGCCAGGTCCAGCTTTCTCTTCTCACTGACCTGTAATCTCTCTCTCTGTGTTTATCTTTCGACTTCTTCTTCTTCTTCTTCGACTTTTTGTGCTTCCGGCTCTTCTGCTCCTCGAGAGGTTCGCTCGGTGAGCTCCTCCTCTGGCATTTCTTTTCAGGGTTGCTGTCGCTGCCCTCTGGGCTGGGGCATTTCCTTTTCCGCTCCTTTGGACGCTCGGCCCCTGGATGCAAACTGTGCTCCTCGGGCACCGGCGCCTCTCTCTCTAGGGGATATTTCTCCGGGCGCTGGGAGGGGACCGGACAGCGGTACATGTCTGCTTTCGAACTGCTAACATGGTCCCTCTCTCTTTCCTTCACTGGTGGGTCGTGAGTCCATCTGCTTTTGTAATAGTCTTTATATGGTTTGTTGTAAATATGACTAGATTTGTTATCGTCCTTCTCGCCATGGCAGACTTTTCTATCCTGGCTACTTTTCGCTATGTGGGAGGAATAATAGTAGCTATCGGGTCGGTATTTTTCCCATCTCCTTGGGATCTCCTGATGATAACCCACTCTGCTCCACGACGGCTCTCCTTTCCAGGGGCAATACTGGCTCCGTTCGAGGTCTGCTTTCTCTCTGCTGTGAGACCGGGGCCAGGGGGACTTTCCTAAACTTCTTCCAGGGTCAGGGCTCGAGGGGAATCGGTACTTGTTCCCGTTGTAGTACTCTCTTCTGGAATACCCCTGCTTCGTTGGCTCCCTGCTGTAGCAACACCTTTTCTTGTAGTGATGCCCATAGTTCTGGCTGTGGCTGGCTTCCCGCTCTCTGCTTTCTGAGCGGCCTCTTTTCGTTCGCTCTGTGCTGAAGCAACACCTTTTCTTGTAGTGATGCCCATCATTCTGGCCGCGGCCGGCCTCCCGCTCTTCACTTTCTGAGCATTCTCTCTTGCTTTGCTCTCTGTGGTAGCAACACTTCTTCTTGTAGTAATGCCTGTCGTTCTGGCTGCAGCCGGCCTCCCGCTCTTCACTTTCAGAGCGGCCTCTCTTGCTGCGGTAGTGCTCTCGGTCCACTTTTTTCGAGGTACCAACTTTCTCCTTCATCAGGGATTGGGACTTTGGCTCCTGCCTTTCTGCGTCTTCTCTGAGACCTTCGTTCCCCCGCCTGGGCCCATCCTCGTCCTTTGAACTCTGAATCTCTGTACCCACATCGAGCCTTGCAGCAGAAGCAACCTCAGGGAGTGGGGCATCCGCAGCATTCTTCATGCCATTCGGCGTTTCTTGGCTTTTCTCAACAACGTTCAGCGCGACCAGCTTGAGAGGTTGGCATTCAGCGTCAGACTTCCTGAAAGGGCTTTGCGCCAGTTTCTCTGCTCCCTCAGGTGTCCCTCTGATGTGCACAGGGCTCTTTTTCCAAGCAGCTTTCCCTTCTTTTGGTCCTCTCATTTTTGCGGAGTGATCCTCCGTGTCGCCTTCTGTACAGAATTCGGCGTCTTTTCCAGGTGACTTTGACTGAGGGTCACACTGCCCGCCGCTATCGAGATGGGAATTCTGCGTTTCTGCGGCAACGCTTTCACAGAGGTTGTCTTTGGTAGAAATGGGTTCGGGGTCAGAAGGAGATGGGAGATCCTGGATGTTGCTGAGAAGGTTGGTGAGGATCTTGCTGGGCTTGTCGCAGGGAACTCTGCTCAAGGCTTCCAAACAGCCATCCTCCTGGGCAGTTTTCTCTGTTCCGCTTGCACTGTGCACAAGAAAATAAAGTTATCAGGTGGGCAGCTGCGTGAGTCTGCGGTCTGAGCCCGGTAGCACCTTAGACCAACAAGCTCTCCCGGGTATAGGCTTTCAAGAGTCAAAAGCTTGTCCCTGGGAAAATCTTGTCGGTCTTTAAGCTGCTACTGGGCTGAAATCAATATTTCTTAACAGTGGTCAGGAAGGGAGATGCACGGTACCGGCAGAGGTAATAAAGCCTTTTTCGAGAAATAAAGGAAAGGACTGGGTACAGTATAAAGACATGTTAAAACCAGTGGGAAAGTCGTTTGAAATAAAAATGGAAGAAGATCTAGCATTTAAATATGGTTGGTTTCAATATAGACAAATAAATGAATTATTTAAAAAAGATAAAAAAACCTTTGGCTTTAGGAAAAAGAATAATGATATTTAGAATGTGTGGTTTGAGGGAGGGAAAAAATGTATTTCAAAAATGTATAAAATATTGTTAAAATGGTATACAGAAGATGAAACAGTTAAAGAACAAATGATAAAGTGGGCGGTAAATATGAATAAAGAGATAATGATGGAGTCTTGGGAGTTTTTATGGAAAAATGCACTGAAAATATCAACATGTAATAACTTAAAAGAAAATTGTTATAAGATGATGTATAGATGGTATATGACACCAAAAAAGATTGCTAATATGAATACTAATATGTCGAATAAGTGTTGGAAGTGCAAAAAAGCAGAAGGCTCATTTTATCATATGTGGTGGACATGTGAAAAAGCCAAAAAAAATTGGAGTGACATTCATGCAGAGATGGAGAAGATTGTGAAATGCAAATTTAAGAAAGAACCGCTCCGAAAAAAATTGCAAATATGAACCAGAATATGTCAAATAAGTGTTGGAAATGTAAAAGCCATGAAGGCTCATTTTATCACATGTGGTGGACTTGTGAGAAAGCAGTTGACTTTTGGACAAAAGTCCACAAGGAAATGCAAAAAATTCTGAAATGCTCTTTTAAAAAGGCACCGGAAATTCTGCTTTTAGGATTGAAAATGGAAGAAGTCAATACAACTAAAAAGACCTTATTCTGGTACTTAATCACAACAGCGAGAATGATTTATGCACAATTTTGGAAAACAGAGAAAGTGCCAGAAATTGAGGACTGGATACAAAAAGTTCTGTTCATGGCAGAGATGGACAAAATTACGAAGAAGTTGAACAATAAAGAAGACGACGTGTTTTTTCAAGAATGGAGTGACTTTAAAATATATCTGGAAAAGAACTGGGATGTGAAACAAAACTTAATATGTTTAGATCAATATTAAGTCAAATGATGTTATCTTTAGATTGTAATGATAAGAAACTGATATTGTTGATGATATGAAGTAATTTGGTGCAGGGGTGGAAGCATTGTGAGAAGCCATTGGAGGGAGGGGAGGAACTAGGAATGGGGTAGACAATTGATAGAATGAAATGATTTAATCGTACATGTTGTATTCCTGAGAAAATAAAATTTGTTTACCAAAAAAAAAAAAAGAAAGAAAGAACCGGAAATATTACTTTTGGGACTAAAAATGGAAGAGGTCAATGTGGCTAAAAGGACATTGATGTGGTATATGATAACAACAGCCAGGAATCGGAGAGTGGATTAGAAAATTGTTGTTTTTGGTTGAAATGGACAAGATGACACGAAAATGGAATAATATGGAAGCAGAAGACTTCTTTAAGGACTGGAAAGACTTAAAAGACTATTTAGAAAATAACTGGGATGTAAAAGACAATTTATTTTGCTTTAATAATTATTGAAGGTTGAGTAATGGTAAAACAAATGGATAAAGGTATAAATGCAATAATAATAAGTTACCTATTGAGCTTACAATAAGAGGAGAGATGGAAAAGTGATGATTAAGAATTTTGTGGGAGGTCGTAGCACTGTGGGAAGCCATACGGGGGGGGGCAGGGAGGAGGGGATGTATTGGGTTAAAATGTGGTTACGATGAATTTGATTGATTATATCCTTAATAAAATGTGTTTTTTTAAAAAAAGGAAGGGAGATGCACGGCAAGCTAAGAAATCATCGTACTATGAATCTCCTGAAAAGAGTTCTCGTTCAGAAGTGTGTCAACACGGAGCAACTGCCATCATGCGGTTTCACAAAGCAGCCCCACAACGGCTTTGTGTCTCAACAAACTTGTTAGCCTTCCAGGGCCATGAAGAATTCTCGACAAATGGCTGCTGATCCTGCCAAGAGGCCCAAGGCAATGTTTTTAGGAAGCAGGTCTCATCTGCTTCCCCGGCACACGCCTCCCAATAAGCAGCTTCAGCACGTGCCCTTGCTTGTAGGCCTCGGCTGCCCTGACATGCTGGCTCCCCACCCCCACCCTGCTGTCTGGTCCAAACGCTTCCCATTCCCCTGTGTTCGGAAGAAGCTTCATGGTGCACCTCAGAAGCATGAGAAGACGAAGTGGGGAAACTCAGGAACTCTCTGATCAGCACCCTACAGCAAAGCAGGTAGGATCCTCCCCAGCAAATCAAAATGTATTTGGACAAGCGTTGCAGGATGGGAGGGAAAATGTGAAACACAATTTCAAAGAACCCCCCCACTCCTACCAGATGACCTTGTGTGCATCCCTAGCAGAGAAGAGTGCAGAAAAATATAGGCAAGAGTGCCAAATGGCCCCATGCAGGGATGTTTTCCCCAAGTTTTCCAGGAAGTGTTAACGTGAAATGGATACGAATCTATGAACCCTGCCAGATGATTAAAGTCAGCCAGGCAGAATTCCACGTGCCCTTCTGAAGCCCAGACAGAGCTCTCCAGCAAGATGGTTGTACCTGGTTTCTTCTGGCGATGTTTTCAGTTGTGTGTATCTGAAGGAGTCCAAGATCATGTCTTCGGGGACCGGGGACAGAGCGGCAGGTGGTCCCTGTTATGAAGAATGGAAAAGGTTACTAAGCGGGCAGAACCAAGGCGATCTATCGACGAGATGGCACGTGCCAGAATCATGTGAGGAGTGAAGTGTGTGGCATCACCACAGCTTTGCACTGCACCCACACCAATGCAAACCACAACAGTCAAACCAGGGCTACCATTTGGCTGCAAAACTATTGTGGTAGAAAAGAGCAAGAGTCCAGTAGCACCTTAAAAGACTAACAAAATTTGTGGCAGGGCTCATACCCCGAGAACAAGAGGGGAAAAAAAGCTGTATGCATGCGCTAAATAATGCAAAAACAATACAATATTTATGTATAATAGTAACAATACAATGCAAAATTGTGTGACAAAAACACAAATGGAAGAGAGGTCCAAAACACTGAGTTGACGAAATTTTCTGGACTATCCAGTCATTTCGAAGGGCTTCATCTGAACTGGACCATGCATATCAGTTGTCTCCTAGTTTCCATCCATTGTTGAATAAGAACAGCAATATATACAATACTTCAATGCATAACTCTGCAAGCAATCAACAGTTTCTGTGTAGAGTTATGGTTACAATTTCGTCAACTCAGTGTTTTGGACCTCTCTTCCATTTGTATTTTTGTCACACAATTTTGCATTGTATAGTTACTATTATTCATAAATATAGTACTGTTTTTGCATTATTTAGCACGTGCATACGGCTTTTTTCCCCCTCTAGGGCTCATACCCTGCCCCAAATCTGTTTGTCTTTAAGGTGCTACTGGTATCTGAAGAAGTGAGCAGTGACTCAGGAAACCTCCTAACCCCGCCACAAATTTTGTTAGTCTTTAAGGTGCCTCTGGGCTGTTGCTCTTTCCTACTGCCACAGGCAGACCAACACAGCAACCCATCTTGATCTGGTTTTATTTATGTTATTTATTTATGGTCCCGCCTTTCTCACTCAGACTCAAGGTGGATTTCTGCCAGGCTCGGGCTGTTTGACCAACTGTACCTGCTGTATTACTGCCTTGATGATTGCTGAACCTATTGTCTCACCTATAAATCCCTGCTTATTGTTGTGACCTTTTTTCCCTCTCTTCCTCCATGCTGTGTAGTTCTAATGGCCTTATCGCTTACCCTTGCCTGCCACCGCATTCCGTGGGGTGGGGGAGTGAGTGTCCATAGGAGTAGGGAGGCTAGCTTCAGTAAATCTTCCATGCCGCCCCATGAGACATCTTTCACACCGGAAGGTGTCTTTGAAGAAGAGTCTTTGATTAGCTAGAAGCGGACCGTTTATCTCTCATGGTCTGTGTAGTAAAGCTGACGTGTCTGAGTGGAATGTGAGATTGTAACTATATGCATCTCTCCTGCCTTGGCACCCCAGTTCTGGCAAAGAGTTAGATCCCTGAACATCTCATATCTTCTAATAAAACTTTCAACCAAGAAAGTGTGTGTGAAGAGTGACTTGACTGGGAACCTGACAATTTCACAGAATAAGTCAGTACATTTAATCAGGGTGGAGCATCCAGTAGCATTTGAACTTGCAGAAATCTGGGAATCAACCAGAGGTAAAGCCCAGTATAAATTTTAACATGACATGTTAATTGAAAGCAAAAACTACAGAGCAGGCACCCGCTTATGGCAACACACCACGCGAACTCTGAGTTAAGGGAAGTTTGTTCCAAGAAGAGCCTATCCAGAGCTGTGCAGAGTCAGTGCTGGCGCAGATACGATACAGAGCCACGCTTAATGCCCGGGGCTAGTGAGAGCCACAACAGAATCCCAGGAGGCCGTGCCTCACATCACATCACCCAGCACCAACCCAGACATCACGACCTGCTGTCCGCATCAACAAGTGCATGTGGACACCTTTCCCACGTCCCTTTCCTCACGTTCATACCCACCTGCCCTCTGAGGAGCTCAGACCAGTGTGCCCGGTTCTACCCACCCACTCCCTCTAATTTTAATCTTGAGCCGATCCTGTGAGGTAGGTTAGACAGCCACAGCAAATGTCAAAAGGTCTCCTTTCCTTCCCCTTGGATAAACAGCACTGTATTTCTAGTCACGCACCTGACACGCCTTCCTCAGGTTCCCAAGCCCCAAGAATCCTGGCACCATTGCCATAGACACCAGTGCCAGTGTTCCCTCTAAGCTGAGTTAGTGTGAGCTAGCTCACAGTTTTTTAGCCTCCGGCTCACACATTTTTGTCTTAGTGCAGGAAGGATGGCTCCAGAGCAAGCTAATTTATGCAGTAGCCAAATTGCTCGCTCATGACTTTAATGCCAGTAGCTCACAAAGTAGAATTTTTGCTCACAAGGCTCCACAGCTTAGAGGGAACGTTGGACACCACCCTCCCCAAACAGAAGAATGGGGGAGGAATTCATGCCAGAAAAAGGAGACATGCATGTTTCTTGTGTGCCCGGCCTTTCTTACAGGGCCTACCAAAGAAACCACAGCCAAGACAAAACTCACTTTCCCATGCAATCCATTGGCTTTTGAGAACGGGTTTTCTACAGATTTCCCAGGCTTGGCTTGGCAAGCGACATCCTCGGGCGGCAGACCGTTCTCTTTCGGAGCCTCGTCGACACTAATAGCACCATTGACAGCGACACTTTTTAGTGGCTCGTGCAGCAGCGGTGGCGCCTCCTCCTCAGCACTGTGGCAGGACGCACAGGAGCTTTCCGTCACGTTTCCCACGCTCCCCGTTGGGATGCCGTTGAAAGGCTTGGGGAGACCATTCTCTTTCACTGGCCCCTTGGGCTCTTCGTCGGAGTCTTCCGAAGATTCGGGTCCGTACGGGACCAAGATGCCCGAACTGAGCTTGGACTTGCCGTTCACCACCGGCGTGGAAGAAGGTTCGCCGGCGGGTGGTGGTTTGGGGATTCTGTTAGCAGCCGAGGCGGCAGAGGCGCTTGAGGTAGACTGCACCGCGGAAGGGTTAGAAACGGTCGAGGAAGGGACCGGCTTATTGAGGTTCTCCGCGGAACAGCTGTTGTGAGAGGCCGTTTGGTGAGTGGACAGCTTGTTAATACTGATGGTGATCTTCTGCTTTTTCGAAGGGTCGGTGGCACTCGCCGAAGCCGATCTATTGAGCGTCCAGTTTGGGACAGAAGTCGCTGAAGGGACGGAAGCTGGCCTTTTGAGGGGCATGGTGCTGGGGCTGGCCACGGAACTGCTGGGCGCTTCTTTCAGGGACGCAGACCCATTCAAATGGTTTGAATTCTGCAACTATTTTTAAAAAATAAGATGAGGAGGACACATTGGGATGAAAACATCTGACATCTGAGAAGAGACCCTGTGCCCTGGCTTTACCATCTCTAGCCCGCCTCGCTAGGTAAATGTAGACCAACGGAGCGTGTGGGAACATCATTATGACTGTCACCCGTGGACTATGGTTTAATCTGAAATTTATTTCTGCTCATGCACTTTATTTGACAACTGTACCAGCACTTTAGGATCGTGATTTATGCATTTTAGGATAACCGAACTGTTTTTGGTAAGCCGCCCTGAGCCTGCCTGGGTGGGCAGGGCGGGGTATAAATTGAATAAAATAAACAAATATATATATATATATATATATAAAATGTTCCCTTGCTCAGTTCATATGTAACATCAGGCCATGGTTTAGCATTACGAGGATTCCTCCCATTCCCAAATCCCTGGGCTCGGATTCTCCCCTCAAGTGCTGCAATCTAATAAGTCTGTTTCCAAGCTGGAGTAGTTCTGCATACAAAGGTGGTGGTTCAGGAAGTAAGGCTGTGGCTTGCTGAGGGACTCGTTTTGTATCCCTGGCTTCAGAAGAGAGAGAACTACCTTCATCATGTGTGGAGGGAGCTGCGGTCCAATAAACCCTGGCGACGTCTGCTTGTTATTCACCACTCGCTGGTTGATAACTGGCCGGGGAGAAGACCGCCCTGGGGTGTGAGCGGAATTTGCGTGTTCACTGCCGTTCTTCACCTCGTGAGACCTGGCCGAGAACGAGACAAGTGACCCACATTAGCTGGATTTTGCAGTGATCCCGGAACTGCCGTGATGAGCTCCTGCTCTCCATCAGGGCTATTCGATTTCTCTCTCCCCCCTGCCGTTTTCTTCTCCAAGGAGATCAGGATAGTTTAACCTCACATAGCCACCCTGTGAGGTAAGCTAGGCCCAACCCAGAGAGAGAACCAAGTATCACAGCACAGTGGGGATTTGAATACGGACTGCCCTCCTCCAAGCTCAACACTCATGCCACTATTGGCTCTATTCTAAAGCTAAATCCTCCTAGCTACTCTGGCTGTTTACTGCAGCCAAAGAAGATTTTTTTGGGGGGGGCTGTTTCCAGAACTATGCAAATAAAGCTCTGAGACCCGATATAAAATGTGATATCTGAATCACAAGCTAAATAAGATTTATACGGCAGGTATTTCTCAACTACCAGAAAGCATTAAACTGACTAAACAGGGTACACGGGTTTTTGTCATTTACAGTGGAAATGTCTTTACCTCCAGAAAAGCCAGTGAGGCTCAGTTGTTAAGAGTGTTGGACTAAGATCTGGGAGACCCGGGTTCAAATTCCCCACTCTGTCCAAAAAGCTTGCTGGGTGACCCTGGCCAAAACACACGCACTCAACCCAATCTACCTTACAGAGTTGTTGGGAGGATAAACGGAGCAGAAGGGAACGATGTAAGCTGCTTTGGGACCGACTGTATTTAATTTAATTGTGTTTAATTAATGGCACGAGGTGTACCATCAAGATATATGCATTTTGTATTCTGAATACCACTTAACAAGTTTTGCTTATATATGGTGGAAAGATCCTTACCTACTGGACCCCTAACTGCAGAGATCTTCTTACGGATAAACAGGACTGTGACTGACGTTTTGACAGGCTGACATCTACCTATCCATCTATCTAGTACTGCTCATACGGCTATCACCTTAAGCGGAAATCAGAACCAAAGAAAATATTTTAAAAGACCTTACTCAGCATTATTTCTCTTATATTTGATAACTGCGCCTGTGAATTCTGCCACTGAGAGGGTGGCACGATCACTGGTATCTGACAGTAGCCATGACACCTGGGCTCGCACATTTAGCAGCTCCGTACCTTTAAGGAAAGGGGTGACTAAATTAGCCGTCAACTCATCGAATATAGGACACTCCAGAACAATGTTCCCTCTAAGCTGCGGAGTCTCGTGAGCAAAAATTCTCCTCTGTGAGCTCCTGGCATTAAAGTTGTGAGCGAGCGATTTGGCTACGGCATAAATAAGTCTGCTCTGGAGCCATCCTTCCTGAGCTAAGGCAAAAATGTGTGAGCCGGAGGCTAAAAAACTGTGAGCTAGCTCACACTAACTCAGCTTAGAGGGAACACTGCTCCAGAATCATACGTTCAATGGTTTCGACTGTATAATATGAGCATCTTAATCGGTCTAATGAAGACTCACTAGGAGCCGAGCTGTAAGCTAGCCCGGCAGGAAACATTTTAAGCATTTAAGCATATATATACCTGATATAAAAGAGCATGTAGGCTTGCTGACTCAGAACGGATCGGATGTCACTGACTGAGACCGTGGAGTCGTTCATCTGGTACCACTGCCCGTTGCTGGCCTGCAAAAGTAATGACTGCGATCTTAAATTCCTTGAAGTGTGCATGCACACAAAAGCTTATACCCAGAAGTAAATATTGTTGGTATTTGTTTGTTTGTTTTATTTGACTTATATCCCACCCTCCCGGCATAGCAGGCTCAGGGTGGGTTGCATCAGATTTGGTAAAAATACAACATACAAAAATTAACACAAGACAACAACAAACTACAGCCCTATCCTTTATCCGGTGCAGTTGTCATTAAAAGGTGCCGCTGGAGTCAAACTTTGTCAGGAGAACCAGTTTCTCCTCCTTCCACCTTGAAGTACTCCCTCCCCCACCAATTTTCCAAATTTTACTCAAACGCCCCCCCCCAAACAAAACAAAACAAAACACAAACACCACTCTCTAACCTTGGCCCAAAGACAGCCTGCCATCTAGTGGAAGAAAGGTACAGCACAAGTTGTACCATTAAGGTATACATATTTTGTTCCAACAGATTAGCAAGTGGCAGATTGCCATACCCCATACACACATTTTTGCAGTCTTCTATAGCCAAGAGCTGCCCTGACCTGGATAGCCCAGGCTAGCTTGATGTCATCATGTCTTGGAAGCTAAGTAGGGTTGGCCTCGGAAGGGAGACCCCCGAGGAAGCCCAGGGTTGCTATGCATGGGCAGGTCATGGCAAACCACCTCTGGATGTCTCTTGCCTTGAAAACCTTGTGGGGTCACCATAAGACGGCTGTGACTTCACAGAAGAAGAAAAAGCTGAGAATCAGTGAGACACAGTCGTTAAGTGTCAAAGGCCAAAGGAGATCCAAGTCCAAACTTTCCCCCAACACCTTGTAAATTGGGGCCTCTCTCTCTCTCTCAACCTAACCCACCTCATGTAGTTACTGGGGGGGGGGGAGTCAGCCATCCTCCAAGGAGCCCTCCTCTAACGGAAGAGCCACTGGAGTGGCAAGAAGGCTCTTCATTCATTCATTCATTCGATTTATACCCCGCCCTCCCCGCGGAGGCAGGCTCAGGGCGGCTTACAGACATATATATATATAAAGATACATTGAACGAGAAGGCTAAAGAAAGACTTCAGACTTTGCTCAGTGCAGAGGGAGGACTGGGTTAAGGATTCACCCCATGCTGAGGAAAAAAAGGAGATGGGGAAGATGCAAGGGTGCTGTTCTGAGCTATCTGAGAGGAAGGGCAGGATTTTTCAAAAGTTTTGTATAGATGGTGCAGTTAAATTGGGGAACTCTTTGCAGACATCAAATCAATCAGCATGCCATACCAGAACTGCCAGTAACTATTATTATTAAATACCTGATTTAAACAAGCACTGGCCTACCTCACGTGGCTGTCCTGAGGATAAAGCACCCTGAGCTCTTTGGCAGAAAGGCAGGATCAAAAAGTGGCATTACTGTCCATGTGCCTCTTTGCTTGCTTTTACAAATTCTTTGTGTTTTAAAAAACACACACCTGCTTTTAATGTTTCCCAATCTAAAGCACAGGAAGAGAATGCCATACACCCTGTACTGCTGTGGACATCACTGTGTTTGTATTCTTTTCCGTTCTGCACAGAAACGACAGGCCAATCCGATGTTCCCAAGCGGTTTCCACCCCCTCCTTTGTCTTTCGACAAATCCTGCCGACTGAGCATTCAGTTGGGGCTCAATCCCACAGACATTTTAGAGCGAGAGAGAGAATATGTACCTTGATGTAGCAGTAGTAATGTCCTGCATGGCAGCTGAAGCCAGCATGCACCATGACTGCATATAACGCATAAATAACTGGGTCTCCGCTTGACTGGGACATGTATGGGCGCATATCAAAATGTTCGGAATATTTCACTTCCTGAAACAGAAAGGAGAGATGTGCATTTCTCTGAGGTGCTTTTAGCAGAAGAAACAATTCACTTCCTGTCTAATTAAAAGTCAAAATAAATAAAAGCTCTGTGCATCATAAAAAAGGACCATCCTGGCGCAAAAATGTTTTTCAAAGTTCACGGCTAAACAGCAGAACACAGAACTTTAAAAGGGGCTCTTGACAACACGCATAGCAAGGCCAAAAATTTGTGTCTGATATTGAAGGACTTGGTTGTGGACAAACCGAAAGGAAATTAGAGGGCTCCGTTAGCGCCACTGTTCTTTTCCTTCCTAATCCCTGGAGCCAGAGTTCCCAGCGTAGTGCTACATTCTTCATGAAATCTAACGCAGATATAATTGCAGTACTCAAGTTTGGTTACCTTTCCAATTTTCCCACCGTTGAAATTTGCAAACCGTTTTAGGGACAGGGTGAGAACGTTTGAAGCCCGATGGATTGTCAATCTTTTTGAGGCAGGAACCATCTTTTTACACCTAAAATGTAAATCAGAGGACACGCAGATCAGCTTCCGAGCCTATTTTTCCCGTACATTCATCTGATTTTCCTGAAGCTCAAATTACACTCCGCTGGTGCTGGATATCGGTATAGATCTAAGTCTTGGACTTTCATACATTTATGGCATCTTTTTGAGACAGAAACTTCTAGAAGCAGCCAATGAAAAACAAGGTACCCCAGAATGTTCCATCCCTCTCAAAAACCCCACAGTCTCCAGGTAAGGAGAGGAGTGGCATAACTTGCCATTTATTAAATCATGTGGCTTGCATCTGAAAGATCTGTTTCCGGGTATAATTCAACGTGTTGGAAGGCCTTAAGTTGGCATACGGCTGGGATACTTGTCTAGCCCACCAATTCGGATCCTCTCTGTACCTGCAAAGGTCAGGACGGTGGTGGCAAAACACAGGGCCTTTTTGGTGGCGGCACCTCACCTGCGGAGCAAGGCTCCCTCTAAACCGTGGAGTCTTGTGAGCAAAAATTCTAATTTGTGAGCTACCGGCATTAAAGTTGTGAGTGAGCAATTTGGCTGCTGCATCAATTAGTTTGCTCTGGAGCCACCCTTCCTGAGCTAAGACAAAAATGTGTGAACCGGAGGCTAAAAAACTGTGGGCTAGCTCACACTAACAACTTAGAGAGAACACTGCTTTGGAGCGTTCTCCCCTTCGAGGCTCGCCTGGCACCTACTATCCTTTACTCAGGCTCTTAACTAAGGAATTCCATCTTTTAAAAAACTGTATTATAGCCTGGGAACTGTTTTATCAATCGCATTCTCTACTCTACATGTGTTTACATCCTGGCTTGCTTTTATTGGATTGTTTTTATTGATGGGACTTGTTTTTTATTGTCTGTTTGCTTGGGTTTGTATTATTGCTCTGAGCTGCCTCAGGCTGGTCTGGAGAGGTGGCATACAAATTTTCTGAATCAATAAAATAAGAATGCAAGAGCACATGCTGTACTGTGTCATCACAAGAGACTTATGAATGACATCTATAAAACCAGTGTACACTATTTTGTCTGGTGGTCACGGATCAAATGCAAGCCAAATTATTTTGAAAACTTTACAAGACAAATGGGGTCAAATCAGATTTATCAAAGAGAGCTTTATTTCCTTCTTACTTGCTACATTTATACGAGTTTTCATCATCCAGTTGTTCTGGTTTGACAAACAGCTCCAGAGCTTTGTTTACACTTTGAGCGGTCTAAAAAAAAAAAAAAAGGAAAATGAGAAGCAGAAAGAAACCGCAGTGAGTTTCACAAGTTTTTAAAGACTAATTCGCAACAGAACCTCCATGGCTTACCTTAAAAAGGAAACCTTTCCCCCCCGCTGAGCAGCAAGTAACCCACAGTGACCCCATTGAGGTCCACCTCACGGGGTTTTCAAGGCAAGAGACGGAACAGAGGTGGTGGTTTGCCGTTGCCTTCCTCCGCATAGCCGCCCTAGCCTTCCTTGGTGGTCTCCCACCCAAGGACTGCCCTTTGCTTAGCTTCTAATCTTGAACACCACCAGGCTCGTCTGGGCCATTAGGGCTGTTACTTTTCCAACGCCCAAAGGATTAAAAGCAAGCCATCCAGAACTTGAAGAATGCTACACCAGATCCATCCCTTATATCCTCCCCAAACTGCCTACAAACACTGTAAAAATTATTTCCCCAGTCTTAAAGGGAGGCATCATATCTCGCCCTGATCTGGATAGCCCAGGCAAGCCCGATCTCGTCAGATCTCAGAAGCCCCGGTTAGTTCTTGGATGGGACCACCAAGAAAGTCCAGGGTTGCTATGCGGAGGCAGGTGATGGCAAACCACCTCTGAACCTCTCTTGCCTTGAAAACTCTACAGGACCACAGAAGAGAGGATCACAGAAATGAATGGCTATATACAGATCAGAAATTACCACAATCAATTTACTAATATACTTTCCAATCCTGTATCAATCTTCTCCGCTTAATTTAATCCTGCTTAATGCTCACAGTTGTAATTATATAAATATCATAATTGTATACAAACAATCACATACACATTTTTCAAATATGAACATCAAACCAGTCCTTCAAATGATACTTCAAGGCATCTTCCTTGCTTAATCCATATTGATCGCAGAAAAAGATACACTTGCTTTGATGTCCCGACTGTGAAGAAACCGGGGTGTGTGTGTGTGTGTGTGAAATGAGGATTTCAAGTCGACTGTTTGCCGCCAGGACCTTTTGTCAACAGAAGTTGCTACGTGTACATACATGGTGGATTCCCTTTGGACTGCTAACTGGAATACAGAAGAGGATTACTACATACCCATATTGGAAAAGTGGCAAAGTCCCGGGAATCTCCCCAGTGGAACAACTCAGAGCTACAATTTGCAGTTTTGGGAATTTTCTCTGTGGATTCTTCTCAGGATTTATGTGGTGACCTTAAAGTATCATTTGAAGGACTGGTTGGATGTTCATATTTGAACATTTGTATGGGATTATTTGTATATGATTATATTTATATGACTATGAGCATTAAGCATGATTAAATTAAGCAAGGAAGACTGATATAGCATTGGAAAGTATATTAGTAAATTGATCACAGTAACTTTTGTTCTATTTATAACTCTACAGGGCCGCCATAATTTGGCTGTGACTTGACAGTGCTTTCTACCACCACATCAAATCTCAGTGTCAGGACGAACGCTGCCTTAGCAACAAGCAATATTTACCACTCTTACAATTTTCATATATGCAACAGAGTCTTAAGACTTTACTGAAATGGTATAGAACTGGATCCCATGACAGTATTCCTACATTTTGGTTTGGACCTCAAAATAAGAGTCATTCCAGTATAGCTTCCCCTCCCTCAATGAATTTAGATGCCTTGAATTCGGTTTTTTCCCCCCCCCCCCCCCCCCCCAGTTCTCATACCTTTATCTCCAATGGAATATCCAGGTAGGGATCAAAAGTATCAGAAACTGCTTTGCAGTTCATGCACTTTACTGAAAAGAAAACAAAAGGTGTTCAGTACAGTACAAAGCAGTGAGAACTGAAGTCCCCAGCACCATACACCAAACCCATTCTAAGATGGAAGCCTTTTAAAAACGATACCTCTAGATCTCAGATATCCTCCAAATATTTGATAAATGAGAGTAGTGGCTTGTGAGTATCGATCCAACCTGGAAGAAAGTTACAGAAATAGGTGGATTACTTAAAAGTCAAAGGCCTTGCTTCAGTGTACATACAGGGGAACAGATCCAAAGGTAAAAAACAAAAACAGGAATACTGCTAACAACTCACTTGTTGCTACCGTTGAGACATGCTTTCTGCATAGCATCAACAGTATAGCGGAGGAATTCATGCGCATCTTCCTGACTTCCGAAACGGAAATGCTTTGCTATTCCTGATAAGTAAAGGAGATGATATTTAGCCTATTGTGGTCAATCTACATGAAGAAGCAGCGTAGATGTCTAACAAAGAAAACCAACGTAAACATAAATGCATATGAAGATCTGGCTTTAAGCAGGCAACATAAACTAGATGCCCCCCTCCCCAAAACCCAGATTTATTTAAAAAAAGAAGTTGGCTTGGCTTACGTCGGAGGTCATTGATGACAGACGTCGGTTTGATGGTGTTGCCAGAGTTGGAAAGGGCTAGGTTGATGTGAGACTGCATGATACACATCATACAGAATCCCTGCTCGTGACCTGAACAGGAAGAACATATGCCAAATGGTAACCCCGCAAATCCTTGGGCAAAGAAGGATCACACATTGCAAGAAACCACAAAATCCATCCTCTTCTGTCTCCTCCCTCCCCTCTGCCACTCAACTGCATTGGAGTCTATGCTTTTGGCAGCAAAGCCAAATGTTCTTACTGGCCAGCCATTCTAGTCCCGCTCAGCCTATGGGAACTCATTTCCTCTTGTCTCTTAACAGTTGCATGAATGCAGACGGAAGCACAGTGAATTCCCATCAATCCAAAAATGTATTAAGAGACTATGGGATCACTTAATTAATATTCGGTAAAATGATACAACTAGGGGAGGCCAAAGAGAATAAGGGAAGCACTTTCTTGAGAAAGGGCAGTCATTTTGAGTACACTGGAAACAGGGCTGACAATCATATTTTTAAAAGTGACCAGTTTTTCTTTCATCTCAATAGATTATTTATGTAATGTGCTCTCTTAAAATCTCGTTTTAACTGCTTTTCCTTTCTCCTGGGAAAAAACCATGATAAAACAGAAGAAAGGCGCAAGATTATTTTATTTAATACACATTATACTCTTGATAACAACTGTTTTAACAAATTCTTTTTTGTGTTATTTGTACAGATGGGCATGAACCGGGAAAATGGATGTTCGTCCTGGTTCATGGGGTCACACAAACCTTCACGAACTCCCCATTTAACGAATTAGTTCATTTTGTGAGGTTCATCATGCATTGTGTGTGTGGCCGAGTGCTCATCCGTCTGAGCCATTTTAGCCCCACAGGTCTTACATTTTTTGAAGGGGGCCACTCTCTCTTTTTCTTTCGATGACATCCCTGAGGAGAAAATTCTTCCCCTCAGAGACAATTGTTTTCAGCTCGCTAAACTCAGTACTCGTTCGATGGCGGCAGAAAGAGAACTGAGGGGAGAGGGCAGGCTCCGCTCAGGTCAGGTGGTATTTTGGGCGGGAAACCGCCTCCTGTATGGAGCCTAGCCCTCTTGGGATGAACATTCTAGAATTATGCTCGCTAGCTCCTCCCGGTGGGCGGCCTGCAGTACTGCAGTCCCATGTGTGCCTGCACAGAAGCCTCTCTCAATGAACAACGGTTACAGGTAAGCAACCACCGTTTTCTTCCCTCCTTTCTGCTGGTGGAGGCTTCCCAAGGGCAGCAGAATGGAAGGGGGGGGTATCTTGCAAAAGCCTTTTAAAGGGAGCGCTGCGTGCAAGTGAAGTCTGAGCAATGAGTTCACCCAGAAGTGAATGAATTCACTGTCTGGACTTCACTTGTGTGCAATACGGCCCGCAAAAGCCATTTAAAGGAAACATTCCCTTTTGCAAGTGAAGTCCAAGCAGCGAATTTACTTGCTTTCAGGTGAACTTGCCACTCGGACTTCATCTTGCAAAAGACATTTAAAGCGAATGCTTGGAAGCGGCGGGGAGGAGTGAAAGAGATTACTGATATGGCTTCCATCTATTTCAGCCTAACAGCTGATGGATGTACCAGCCCCGCCAGTAGGCTGAAATGGATGTGAGCCATTTCAGCAATCCCTCTCATTCCCACCCCCTTGCTTCCCACCATGAGTCCCACAAACCTCCAAAAACCACATGGAGGGCCATGGATAGGGATGAACCGGCCACGTTTGTGGCAAAGTTAGGTTTGTGGTGAGGTTCATGCCCATCCCTAGTTATTTGTATTATAAATGATGTTTCTATGAACTAGCAAAAAATAAAACCAAGAACATAATTCCTCTCCCATATGGCTACCTTGAAGCATACAGGCTATGTTCGCAGAAGAAAGAAAAGAAAGGTCTCCTGCCTTCTTTATGTACGCCTAAAATTTTTGCGAAGTGTATACATGGCTGGATATATCTGAATTGCTAATGTACATTTCAAAAGCAGAAATATACTGGCTGAGATCCAAGGAGCTACTTTCAGTCACTCCCAATGCTTGGGCATGCCCAGGGGGGCTGGGGGCTTCCCTTTCAGTAGCAGCCCCTCCCCCAAGCCATACTGCAAACTGCTTTTTTTTTTTTTAAGTCCCTTCCATTTTAAAGTGGTTTGCCATGAAGCATTTGGAAGGTGCAAGACGAGGAGAAGTGGTTCAAGAATCTCAAGTCCAGTTGGGGGCTTGGAACTAGTGACATAGTTCTGGGCTCTAACGTACCGTGTGTAAATACATACGAAGGAAAAACACCACCACCACTGCACTAGGGTGACTTCCATTTTGAGAGCAAAGTTCAGACCCGCTAAATACTCTCTGGCTTATTCCAAAACACCGGGCTGAGCAAACAGAGAAACATCTCAGCCTCCCTTTCAAATGTCAAAAAAAAAAAAAAAGGCAGAGAAGAGGCAAAGAGATACTCACAGTTTTTGGAGTGTTCCAGGGAAAGCATGTAATTGGCTAGAGGGGGCGTGTAAGTCAGACACTGTAGAGCAGAGTTGACGAAACATGTATTGCCAAGGTTCTGGAGGCCAGCTCCGACTTTGTGCGTTTTTTGCCATTTCAGGCACACCTTCTCGGCTGGAAAGAGGATCTTCTGCGGTGGAGCAATGCCATCACCGAGAGCTGCCAAAGACATGGGTTTGGAAGAAACTGACATCACTAAAGGTGGAACAGAGCAGCAGGTTGGACAGCTTTTAAGCCCCATCCGTAGAGAGTGGTTCTTTTTAAAAGACCCAACAACCTAGAAACCTGCCAAGAAAAACAAGCGCAGATACTTCCTTTTTTTTGGTCCTTATAGCTCTCTTCTGAGTAATTTATGGCAAGCCCCCTGTTAACTTACACAATACTAAAAAGGATAACTCGTCCTTATATGAGCAGTACAAGTTTTCGTTATGGGTTTAACTCGCTAAGCTGAGATCTCTGGTTGCTGAGCTTACTGTAGAGACACAGAACGGGCTGCTCCTACGCTCCAGAATCCTCCAGGGAGAATGAACCCCATTGGTGCAGCTGCACAGACCAAGTGGTGACCCAACGGGAGACAGCAGAAAGGAACTTATCCCACTGATTCAAAGCATAGCTTTTCCCTGGACGGGAACCATGTCATAGGGATACGCGACAAAATGAAGATCACCTCGGTCGGCTAACGCAGTGTGTGGTGTTTGCACTGCTGTGACCAGATGGCCCAGGCTGCCCAGAACTCATCAGATCTTGGAAGCTAAGCAGGGTCAGTCCTGGATAGTATTTGGGACGGGAGACCAGCAAGGAATGCTAGGTTTGCTACGCAGAGGCAGACAATGGCCAACCACCTCTGAACATTTCTTGCCTTGAAAACCCTAGGGCAGGGGTGTCGAACTCATTTGTTACGAGGGCCGGACCTGACATAAATGAGACCTTGTTGGGCCGGGCCATGTGTGTCATCAAATGTAATGCCAGGTAGCGGAGATATAAGCTTTATAAAGGACACAAACACAAAGCGCTGTTTTTTTTTTACTTAAAATAAAAACATGCTTAAAACATTAGCACCTTTGCAATAGTTTGTTTATTGAACAGTATCTGATAACTGACACCTCTTGCTCTGAATTACTGCATCAAAATGTCTGTGCTGTTGCAATCTTGAGTATGCTGCTCAGGTGTGTATCTGTGAGCTGCAAACCTACGATGACACAGCAGCAGCAGAACTGGAAGAAGAAGCAGAAGACAGCCAGTTCCACTGCGGGCCTGATAGAAGCCCTATGTGGGCCTGATCCGGCCCCCGGGCCTCATGTTTGACACCCCAGCCCTAGGGGGTTGCCATAAGTCAGCTGCTACTCAATGGCACTTTCCACCCCCAATGTTCTCATCGATTCTTCGGCATTTAAAACGAGAAATAGAGCAATGCTCATCTGCAGAAGAAACTCCTGCATACAGCCATACCAGAGAAGCATCCCAAAAGTTTTGTGTGTGAGTTCTGTAAGGCGGGAGACTTACACTGATCCTTCTGAGTGGAGGGTTTGGATTTATCTGGAACTGATGAATTGGAATAAACGGCAGCCCCTGGCACTGGTCCCAAGGAGATCTTGCGTTTTGGAGCTTCCAGAGACGACACAGTGCTCCATCCTCCAGAGCCTGATTCCATCTCTCCAGAAGCCGGCACCAGGGAGTTGCCGGGCTGCTTCTGACAGCCAGAAGTGTTTGAGGACTCAGATGTTTTGTCAACTATGGTCATTGTTCATCTCTATAAGAGGAGGAGAGGGAAAAAAACAACAACAAGATCTTTTTGACGGGTGGCAAAGCAAGGTCAATTCAGCTTACCGAGTGAAGAAGATAAACTGTTATTCTTTTCCGATATGAAGTACATTCGGTCACAAAAATAAAAAATAAAAATGCATCTCTCAAACCCAAACGATGCAGCCATGCCTCTCTCACACTGGTTTTCCAGCAATGTGGCCACAGCATCATTTCCAACAATTCCCATGTAGAGAGGCCTACGTGAAACTAAACAATTGACGTCTAACTAGGTCTTCTATTTAAATAACAGTGCCCACCTTGAACAGCAAGCGTAAACCTGCTCGAACACTTTCTGATGGTTTGAAAAGAGCTTTGGGGACACCCTTACAGTTTTTGTAAGGTGGCCAGAGACAAAGATGTCTAGCCTGAAAGAAACCCAGAGAAGAACAGGATTCTTTGGGCTTTAGAAGGGTAAGCACTCTTATGTAAACCAGAATAAAGTTTGAGTCCAGTGGCAACTTTTAAGACCAACTTTGTCAGAAGTGTGTGGGCAGAAGAAAGCTTATACTCAGAATAAACTTTGTTGGTCTTAAAGGTGCCACTGGTCTCCAACTTTGTTCTATGATATAAAACAGTTTACAAAGAGTTTTGTACCCAGAACACTACTGTTATGAATGCCATGGATACAAGCTGGGTGGGGAAATGTTATTTTTAATGACATCCATTCTGTTTTGAAACAAAGCCCCCCCCCCCTCCCAGTGTCATCTTCTTTCCCCCTCCAAACTACCAGATCGCGCAGCTGGACTGCTGGGGCAGGAGGCAAGTAACCTTTGTACAAGCCAGCCCTCTTAAAAAGGATTTCCATTGAGTTTCTGTTGTGTATCCCAAACTCTAATGAGGCACCCCATCCTCAAGCGTGTTAATTTTGTTTCTGTTTTTGTTACCCACCCTCCAGGAAGAGCTGTATGCATAACCCCATAAATGTGTGGTTCTTTCCCCCAGATAACAACCAGTGTTCCCTCTAAACTGAGTTAGTGTGAGCTAGCTCACTTTTTTTAGCCTCCAGTTCACACGTTTTCGTCTTCGCTCAGGAAGGATGGCTCTGGAGCAAACTAATTTATGCAGTGGCGAAATCGTTCACTCACAACTTTAATGCCAGTAGCTCACAAAGCAGAATTTTTGCTCGCAAGACTCCGAGCTTAGAGGGAGCATTGATCACAAGGTCAGATTTTCAGTTGCTTAATAAAAATGGTGAGCTTGCACAATGGCACAATGACATCCCAACCCCTTTCCTCCAAGTAAATTTATTTCAGGAAAGGGTGGGATTGAGAACCTGAAGTAACCTGGCCCACCCTCTGCTAAAAGAAAACGGCAAATGGGATTGGCAAGGTGTCTGGACATGGGATGGTCATCGCCTCCAGTCTAGGAAGCAAGATCCTCCCAGGCCCAGCTGCTTAGGGTTCAGGCCTAGGGAACAGTCTGGCCTTTTGAAGGGTGAAACATGTCATTCACCAGGTTGGAAGTGGGACCCTCACCAAAAATGCAAGCACTGGGCAAAGAACGGCTGAGGAGAACAGCCGTGACTGCTCCTTGCTCCAAGGGAATTGCAAAATGGAAGGACTGGACTATAGATGGCATCATGTTAATGCAAGAATTCCTTTGTGGTGCTCCAATCATTGAGGAGAATGGATCAAGGGAAGATCCAGCAGAGAGAAAGATTCCAAGTCGAAGGCAGGAGCTGCGGGGGGGGGGGGGGGGGGGGGAATTACAACACAACAGATCCAAACGCCTCACTGCCAACAACATCTCAGGCTACTCTAAGCCCCTTCTGTGACGGAGCATCACACAGAAGGTCTTCCACAGTTTAGATCACTCAGGGTCTAAAACCCCCACATTTACAAATGAACGGTCACTGAGAAGCAATTAAGATGAATGCAGGAAACACTTCACAGTTACAAGGTTAAATAAAGCAAATTTAACAGCTTTCATCGTCCTCCAAAGCCACACATTCGCAGAAGTGCTTATTAAATCAGGTTTCCTTTTCAGAACTACAAGGCTCAAATTACTAACGTTGCCCAATAACGTAACAAAATCATACTGGGAAAATGCATCTCCGTGCCGGCGCTCAAACATGCTCGAGGTTTTACTCATTTCCTGCATGTGTCTGGCTGTTCTTTGTTCCAAACAAAAAGCAGAGTTCTTCCTTAACATAATCCTCTCTCTTATTAACCAGGGGGGGGAAAGTACAACTTGTAAGGGGGCGGGTGGACAGACACAGGCATTTTACAATGGAGTCAATTACAAAGTCAGTTAGGCAGCAATTCAGTTGCGAGTCACCTGGGCACAATTCCTAGCAGATTTGTTTATACAGGAGAAGAATGGGGCCAAATGAATCTGGACTCTGGATAACCTATAATCCAAGAGCAAGATCCCAAAGTGCATCCTTCCAGAAGTGCCTGCAGCAAGCTCAGTAACGGAAGCCAACTTGGAGATTTTTAAATATCGACTGGGTACATATTAGTCAGGGATATTACAGTCATAGTTCCCGCACAGGTAGGGGGTTGGGCTAGATGACCCTGGTGGTCCCTTCCAACTCTGAGACTGAACAAATAAACCAAGTCCATCTTCTGCTCAGATAAAAACAGCCATCATGAAATGAAGGTGTAAAGGTAGAGTGTGGGGCTGACTAAGTAGGGGGGATACGTTTCTCACTTTCCTTCCTAAACAAGCCAAGAATGCTTTGACTCCACTTGCAAAATATAGGAATAAATCAGGTGAAACCAGAGAAAAAGTGAAGGAATACCATAAAGCGTTAGCTGCATTCTTTTCGGGGTGTGTGTTCATGTGTGTGAATCGTTTTCTAGAAAGGGAATGACTGCTGAGCACGTTGCCAACAACACAAGAAATGTAAACATTCATTCGCTATCTGTTAGTGGAGTGACACCCTTCCAAGCTGACTGAAGTTGATGGGCTTAGAATGGTACAGTCCTGGTTCGCACTGCACTGTTAGGTCTTGTAAGAAAGCCCAATAAGCTATGTGAGCCTGGGTGCCATCCGTTGCAAAGCCTCCATTCATTCCAGCAAGACTTGTACAAGGTGTGCAGGCCACCCTGTCGGAATGAACGTCGCCCTGAAGCGGCAGCTGGCAGGTTGCTGGATTGGCCTGTCTTCTAGTAAGAGGGAGTCAGCCTCAGTTTTAAAAAACGTGAAGGATGCCGAAGTCTCAGGCCCCCAGCCCCATACGCCACTACTTGATGGTAACTGGGAAGGAACTAAAGAGCATCCAGTCCAGTCACCCGCTGCTAAATAGAACTATCAGCTCCATGCGTGCCAGCGCATCAGAGCCAGAACACAGCAAGGCGCAACTGAAAGAGCACGTGGACGGGCAGTCAGGCGCTTATGTAGACATTCACTTCAGGTAACTCTAGCAAGCGCACCAAGAGGACTCTAAAGGCACCCCTGCTCTACCAGGCAAAAGATTTATATCGCTCGGCACCCTTTCCAGCCAGATGGAAGTCCACCAGCAGAAAGGGCTAGCCCTCCAATTTGGTGTAGTGGTTAAGAGCAGCACACTCTAATCTGGAGAACTAGGTTTGATTCCCCACTCCTCCTCCACATGCAGCCAGCTGGGTGACCTGGGGTCAGTCACAGTTCTCTCAGAGCTGTTCTCTCAAGGGCAGTTCTGGAAAGAGCTCTTTCAGCCCCACCTACTTTACAGGGTCTTTGTTGTGAGGAGAGGAAGAGAAGGAGATTGTAAGCTGCTCTGAGACTCTGAGTGAAGGGTGAGGTATAAATACAACTCTTCTTCTCCTCCTCCTGCCTCGGCCAAAAAAGTAGAATCCAGAGACACACAGCCTTGGGACCCAGAGACTCCCATGAACTATCAAAGCTAGAAACAGTCACAGACCTCATCATTCATAGAACAAAGTTTGAGTCCAGTGGCACCTTTAAGACCAACAACATTTAATTCCGGGTCTAGCTCACAACTTTTCAAGCCAGATGGAAGCCCACCAGTAGAAAGTGTGTGTAAGTTCCCTTTTTGACATTGTGCATGCACACAAAGGCTTATACAAAGAATTAACCTTTGTTGATCTTAAAGGTGCCACCGGGCTCAAACTCTGTTCTGTTGCTTCAGACCAACACAATCTCTCATCATTCATAACTAGCCTAATGCCCTTGGAATGGGGCTGCAGCCCAGTTTTAGAGCAACTGCATAGTATGCAGAAGGTCCCCAGTTCAATCCCCAGCATCGCCAGCTTAAAAAGAACCAGGTGGTAGAGGATGTGAAAGACCTCTGAGACTACCTGAGAAATGGGAAATTAGTATGCAAAAAGGCAAACATCTGTATGCCACGCTCTGGGCCTAGAAACAGCAGAAAAACTACAAGAGCTCCAGCCTCAACTCCTATCCCTGTCACATCAAGGCTTGATTCCCAGACACGGGGTGGGGGGTGGGAAGAGAGGAGAGACTGTAAAGGAATCACTCATTTGAGAGGCAGTGTCCATAGCAACCAAGCGAGGGAAGTAACACTATAAGAGAACTGCATGAGACTCCGCCCCCCCCAACAAAAACCCAACACACAAGGGAAGGGAAAAGGGGCAAGGGTAACAGAAGCAAAAGTAAAAACGAACCTTAAAACCAACAGAGATCAAACGCAAGGAAAGATAATAGGGGGGGGGCAGGAGGAGACAAGTATATGCATGCATAACATGTGGTAATCGCACAAAGAACAGGAGCGTAGGATAACCTCCACCAGCCAGACAAATAGGAGAAAGAAGATACATTCCTCCATACACAACAGGCTCTCCAGGTGTTCCCTAGATATTGGCATTGTGAGACAGTAATAAGTAAATAAAATGCCCTCTCCCAAAGTTAACAGGAGTTTTATAGCATCATAAATATTGACATTTCCCCCCCAAGCATGAGCTCTGGATCCCACTTATAGTGTCTGAAGAAGTGGGCTCTAGTCTGCAAAAAGCTTAGACTAGACTAAAAAAC